CGACCTTGACTCCAGTCCGGGGGAACGCACACACGCAAACTAGTTCCCGCGTTTTCCTGCTGGACACCCCCCGAAAACGTGTCTTTGTACCTGTTCGTCGCAAGGGGAGCTTGTCAAGCTTTTTTTTCCGGGCGTTTTCCTTTACTCCACCGATTTCCTGTGTTTTGCAGGCTTAGGTGCTTGCATTTGACGTCGTGTGTGCGGTGTTGGTTTCGTGATACTTCACCCATCCGACCACACCCACCCGACTTCCGAACCACCTGCTCAAGCCAGAGCCAAGGAAGGACGTGATGGCTTCATACGACCGGGAGGTGACTACCCCATTCTTGCTCCGGCTTTTCTACAAGAATGGGTCATTTCACAGGTAAAGTGGGACTCAGGCACCCTGTCGCTTCGGGCTTGTAGACACAGCTTGCTAATGAATTGATATCCCAGGCCGGACGAGTTCGCATCAAGGAGCCTGCCACCGTCACTGTCGCTCTACACCTGGCCCAGCAGTACCCTCACCGAGCTGGCGGAGCAATTAGCTGCGGAAGATCCCTCCCTCCTCCCAAGCCCGTCCGGGGGCACAAGGCTCGCGTTCCGATTGATCTACCCCGACGCCCGAAACGCGGCAGCCACCGCGGGCGCACATCACGCCCCGACACAACCACGGTTCATGGTGAAAGACCTAGGCAGCGTAGTGCTCGGCGGCGACGGCGCTTCGGCAGCGCTGCTTGCCGCGGCCAACGGCGCGGAGGGAGACGATGGAGATACCGAGATGGCGGGAGCTGCCGCGCTGGCGACCGCGGAGACGGCGACGAAGGACAAGACGCTTGGGGAATTCAAGTTCGTGGTGGGCGACTACGTCTCATGCGCCATCTTGCCGCCGCTCGCCGACGGCTCCGTTGCGCCGGCGATAACGGCACGGAATGATAGGCCAACGGGCCCGAGGGGTCCTGCGGCTGGGCATCCTCCGCACAATAACCGGCGAGATGCTGGGTTTGCAGGACGCCCGGGTCGGGACAGGGAACGGCGTCGCTCTGGGTTTGGAGACGGTGGTTTCCCTGAGGGCGAGTGGAGGAGAGGTGAGAGGCTCCCTGATGAGGCCCCTGACCGGTCTTGGGGAAGAGGGAGGCGGGGAGAGAGGGGCGGCAGATGGTGATTTGGACCCATTTTGTTCAGTTGCGACCCGAGGAGTTTCTGGCTTTCCGGGTCTTCATCGACTTTGCCTCCAACTGGAAACGACAATGTCGGCTTCACTCGTTCGGAGATGGGTTCTACAGACTTTGGTCAACGAGGTAGGCTTCGGAAATTATACGCCGCTCCGTGGTTGTTGACCTGATAATCACAGGGGACCGCGCGACCGGGTAGCCATCTTCGGGATGTGAGGGCCCTATTCGCCCAGATTTGGACGATATAAGCGACGGATGGAAAACTGCATCATATGACCGATCCAGGCTCACCATTGAGCTCCGAGAAGACGTTGGGGACGAAGTTTGACGCCTAGGCGGGTTTCCTAGATAGCTTCCGGCATGGAAGCAGCATGGAAAGTTACGAACTATGGGAGACGACGATGATCAGGGGCCGCCGATGGGTTTGTCAAAGCCCCAGTAGGCACATTCAGGGCAAGATGGATTCAATGCTGAGAATGCATCACGGAAGTGGTGTACATCTATGGCTCTGTCGGCATGCCGTCAACTCGAGAGATTTTGTGAGACGAGCATGGTTCGCCAGAAATACCGGAGGCAAGGAAGCAGAAAGGGGGCTTCGGATCACGACTAAGGGAACGATTGCGGTGGCTTCGCAATCGGCACGGCGTGAAGGTTATCAAAAGGGATACCAATTGTTTTCATTGGGGCCATTAGCAGCCATACATCATCGGGACATATCAATCAGAACATGCTTCAAACACGGCAAATGTGACCTGAGGCGTTGCTTCGAGCAAATGGAAACTTGAATTGTTTTTCATTTATTTCTTCCGTTCCAGCGTGGATCTCCAGGCTTATGTACGACCACAGCTCCATTGTACCAAGTCGATCTATCGCTCGTAGACGAGGTCGCCCTTGCGCTTCGCACGCAGATCCCAGAGACCCTGTTCATTGCGTCAGTATATGTGCCCTTTGGGTATTCCAAAGCGTGCTTAACGCCAGGCGGAGTTCGGGAGAGAGGGTAGGGCTCACGTCGGTCTTGTAGCCAATGTATCCGATGATCGCAGGGACAACGGCAATGTAGATGAAGGAAATGCGGGCTGTTCTCGGCGTCCATCGGAAGAAGATGTGTCTGTTGCTCTGCATGTCTGTTCGGCGTCCTCGGTTAGCACCTCCACTGCTCCTTCTCTCGCGACGCAATCGATTATATCAATCTAGCTCGGATATTGGATTTAACGTACGTCCCAGCTTGACCAAGGCCGGGTCAAGGGCCAGCTCTGTCCGCAAGAATTAGCATTTCTTCAGGTGTATTTTTGGGTGTCAGATTGGCTCACTGTGGTGCTCAACGCCGCCTGCCATCTTGATCGATGTCAGGGCAATGCTCAATCTGTTTCCTGGAGAAGAATTGGCTCAGTCGGGACGACGAAGTTTGCGGGTTTCCGGGGTTAATCGGCAGAGCTCATCGACTTGTGCTGCTTGAAACGCCGTGATGCGCGATGCTCAGCCGACCGTTGGAGTTGCTTGCTTAGGTAATACCGTCTCATGCCTTGAGGGTCAGGCAATAACCAATCATAAGGGCTGCATTAGCCAGATGCTTAGACACTGTGACACTGTGCGAGGCTGCGCTCTCCAGAGCGCCCTGACAGTTTGAAGTCAGCACGAACACTGTCTGACAGACTTGTCCGGCTCCCGCAGGCCTCCTCAAGCTGGAATTGCTGCTGTTTACATAATCACACCAAGTCAACGTGCCAGAGTGGTTAATGGGCTGCCCTGCTATTACATCCAGCCTTCGCTGGAAAATATACAGGCAGTGGCTTCGGTCGCGCAAGTTCGAATCTTGTCGTTGACGCAATTTCTTTTTGCCATTTTTCGTCAACATCCCGTATATTCCGCTCTCTTCGTGTGTGGTTTCGCCGATACTTTTGAAGTTATCGTCTGAACTTTGGCTGTTTCTCCCAGCATTCAATTGAGTTGTGCTGCAGTCGCAAAGTGCCTCGCACTCGGGTTTCAATGAAGACTACCTAGTGCTTCTTATATTGACTTCAGGATCGTAGCTCAGCATCGACGAAACTGCTGTCTACTCAATTTTACCCCCCAAGACTCTAATCATTATGACGCTAACGTGTGAGATCTGGACCAGAGGGAATTGTAGTCGGAGCCAAGAGTTCCTCCGAAGATGCAGTCTCTCCGACGATGATGAATTGGACACTTGATTAGGATGTCGACCGATGCGTTTGTGCCGAGGCAAGCCTAAAATGTGGGGGCCTCATCTGGTGTTGCTCAGAATGCGCTGCTGCGACACAGGACGGTCCAAGTGTTTTTGTTTGGAAGCAGGTGAAGGTGAACTCGGTGGGGCCCGGACACTTGAGTTTCCGGTGTACTAGTGACGTATAAAATGAGGGACATGACCTCGGTGATTTATTTGTTTGCCGGTTTATTTATACGATACTGTGATTGCAAAAAGGTTCGGCCATTGTCTTGAGACAGTTCAGCTACGTTCAGTAACACCGGAAAAGATAAGACGCAGTACCACATACCAAGCGAAACATTAGCAGGATGGCAACAGAGGAACCCAAGGTGAAGCTCTACTGGTAAGTGTCCGTGAAGTCCTGTACGACCAAGATCTCACATACCACTAGGTTGGAGCAGTCCAGAGCCCAGAATATCCTTTGGCTGCTCGAAGAGCTAAAGATCAAGTATGAAGTGGAGGTCTTCCATCGCAACAAGCAGACTCTGCTTGCGCCTCCAGAGCTAGCCAAGGTTCATCCCCTCGGCAAGTCTCCAGTCATCGAGATCTTCCCAGGTGGCTCTGGAGAGTCAATCAAGCTGGCAGAGAGCGGTTACATGACGCAGTACCTGTGTGATCACTTTGGCAAAGACTCCGGTCTGATCCCTAAGAAGTGGAAGGACGGCCAAGAAGGCAAAATCGGAGGAGAGACCGAAGAGTGGACGAGATGCCAGTATTATATGCATTACGTTGAAGGAAGTCTGCTTCCTGTCTTTACCTTGTCTCTTGTCATCTCAGGTTGGTCTATCTCGAATGCCTCAATCGAGCATCTTGTCAGATCTCACAACTAACACGCTTCGTCAGCCCTCAAATCGGACAATGTCCCCTTCATCGTCCGGCCTATCACTTCGGTGGTCGCAAACAGGATCTTCAGCATGATGATCTTCCCTAACGCCAAGAAGCACCTGTCCATGATCGAGGAGCATCTTGCAACTGCTCCAGGTGGAGGAGACAAGTACATTTGCGGTCCCAACTTGACAGCTGCCGATATCCTACTCAGTTTTGCCCTCATCGCTGCTGAGGGCAGGCTGGACGGATTTGGAAATTGGCCAGGAGGCTCAGCCAAGAAAACTTACCCGAAGGTATTTGCGTATATCGAGCGACTCAAGAAGGAGCCCGGGTATGAACGATCTGCTCAGAAGATCCGCGAGATTGATGGCAAGTTTGAGGCCACCATCTCTCGATTCTAAGGGGTATGGGGGTTGGGAAACTGGTGGGCGGAGAACATATACCACTTTGCATTGTTTTTCTTTCTTCCTTTTCTGTTAGTAAATTGACAATGGTAACAACTTTACGTAACCTACCTATCAAGTAGAAACGTTACTTGGCCTGGTGACCTGAGGCTGAACATCTCTCGTGAAAGTGGGAGAAGCGAACCTGGGCCCAAGCTCTCTCGGATAGGTATCCGCACGTCTTAGCGCTACAGCCAATTGACAGGGGCGGTAGCCACACACCAAATCGGCGTGCATCCTTCCGTGCCCCGACCTTGCGTCCCGGAATTTTTATCGAAAATCAACAACTTGCAGCTCAACGCAAGCCTCCAACCCCACGTCACACGGTTGCTCGCCCGATTGCCAGACGCCATGCTGGCTTCGAGGACGGTATGCGCTCGCTGCCGGACCAGGCTTCTAGCTGGCGCGATCGCTGCCAGCACCACCCGCCCGAACTCGACAGCAAGTTTCCCCTCCGTCACTGCCGAGCAACCCTCCGACACGACAGCGCAGCCACCGCGGGCCCAGGCCTCTGAGGCTTCTCCAAACAAGACCCGTTCAAGAAGATCAAAGAACGATGCCGATGCGAAGAAGCGAGCGCTGGACTTGTTCGAAAGCGCCATCAACAAGAGCAGGGGCGAAGAAGCCGTTGCGCAGGAGACGCCGTACACCTTGGAGAAGCTGGCCCGGCTTGCGAAAATACTCGATACTGTCCTGAACTCGAATTTGAAGAAGAACATCACTATTGAAATCGCAGCGAGGAACTTCGTTATTCTGGAGACAGAGGTCTTGCCAAGTTTACGAAACTCGAAGATACCACAACCTATCTTGATGGAAGCTTCGCAAGCATTGCGACAACTTATAGACTTCAAACTCGTCAATACGCATGCGAAAGAACTCCCGAGCCTGACAGACCTCTGCCGACTCATGTCTGATTTCGGAAATGTGAAGCCTCAGTCACGTTTGCAGTTCATTAACACATTCCTAAATGCAATCTTACCAACGCTTTCCGAAGCAAAAGATGACGCCAACATGGAGTCCGCAACTGTAGAAGAGAGGTTACTACAGGATCTTGTCGATTTCTGGAAGCATTTTACTGCGTTACGGCGCGTGGACAGCGGTCTCCGATCCGAGCCGAAATTCTGGCTCACCTCGAGACCGGACTTGCGAAGCAGCGACCAGCCGGTGAAGCTCTTCAGGCTGCTACTGCATTCTGTAGCAGCCAACGTGGTCGGATTGGACACTGCGTTAGTGACTACTTATGTCCTACTTTCAGACCCTGCATACGAACACACAAAAGCGAGGGAAGATGCGGCGCCTCTCCTCGAAGCGTTGGAACCCATTATCAAGCGTTTCGACCGCGGAAAACTTCACCCTCTATTTGAGGCGCAACCTAAGTTGTGGCAGTTTGTTGAACCAAGGGCAGACTGGCGGGTCATTCAAGCGGCTCCCAACGTGTTGGGTGAGTTCGCCACTGCTGCGCCAGACGGCTGGGCCCCAAAACATGGCAAATTCGCCTACGCACTGTGGCACAAACGCTTCAACATGGCGTACCGTGGAAACGACCATGCAGCCGTGCAGCAGGCTTGGAGAGATCTTATCGAGCCACCTAATGATGCAAGTCGGGCGGGCAAACTCCGTAGATGTCCTGAGCTGTTCGATTACATATTGCACATTGCCTGCCATAAATCTCGATATGAGAAGGCCATATACACGCAGGTCATCTACGAGGTTTTAGAATACATGAAGGCCATCGGCCTCGAGCCAACAATCAGGACATACACCTCTATGATGGAGGGTTGGAAGCTGGCAAAACGAATCGAGCCTATCGAACACATGTGGGAGTCTATCACGACAGTCGGGCTGAAACTGGACCATCAGATTTGGTCAAGTCGGATATCTGCGCTTGGCGGGCTTGGAGCAGGGTGGGATGGCATCAGAGCGCTCACCCAGATGGACAAAGCGTGGCAAGAGGCAGTAAAGAACGGAACAGAGGACCAGGCTCTCAAACCTGCCATGTCGAACGTAAATGCGGCAATATCCGGGCTTCTGTGGCGAAACCGCATGGACGGCGTAAAGAAGGTCTTGGAGTGGGCTTCTGAGAGGGGCCTGCAGCCTGACATCTACACCTTCAACATGCTTCTCTCCAGCATGTTGAAGCAAGGCAAACACGAGGAGGCGGACAGGATACTAGTCAGCATGAAAGCGGCAGGTGTCAAGCCAGACGGCGCCACTTTCACCATTATCATGGATACCGCCTTCGCCGACATATCCCAGCAGTCGCCCGAGGAGCAGAAAGCCACTATTGGGAATGTCTTCAGGGAAATGAAGGCCTGCGGTATCGACCCGAATCAGGAGACGTATGCCAAGATGATACATTCTCTCATCAGACAGGGCGACGTCGCGCGGTCGTCCATCACAGCCATCCTCGCCCACCTGCGCGCCACTGGCCAGCAGCCCTCCACCGAGATCTGCACCATGCTCGTCGAGTACTTCATCGACCATCAGCCCGACCTCGACACCGTCCGCGCCCTCGTTGACGACCGCCGGTCCCGCGCACGCGCTCTGACGGACCGCGTCTTCTGGGAGACCGTCATCAAGTACTACCACCGCGCAGACGACCTCGACGGCGCTCTCGAGATCGTGTACGACCTCGACGACTGGGGTATCTGGCCTGGCCTGCCGCTGCTGGAGCCCCTGCTCCGGTCACTACTTCACCGCAAGGACTGGGACGCCGCTAAGAAGCTCGTGGGCACCGTACGGCGACAGCCCCGTCCGGAGGCTGCTGACCGAGAAAGTCGGTACTGGAGGCATGCTTTCTGGGCTGTGGCAAGGGATTACGACTTGGTTGATCACAACGCACAGGTGGTGCAGAATTAGTGATGGCCCTCCCTTTGTACGATGTCGAAGAGACTATTGCATCACACGTTAGAATACTAAAACCAATGCCTCTTCATTTGTAGCCTTTTGTTGGTGATATTAAGACTTAAGTGAAATCAAAATTGGCGACTTGTCCCGGGGTGGTTGATTGATCAGCCCGCGGGCGGCGAACTCATTCCCAAAGAAATACGAAGTCGTAGGAATGATGGACCACCTCCCACTTCTTGCTAACGTACCGCCCTTTTTTGAGATGGATCAAGACTGACCCATATCCAAGAAAGGGCCCCCATGGCATGTTGGTTGTTGATCTGGCACTATGACAAACCACGCGAGGGTCTTTGAGGGTTCTTCCTCCCAAATGCCCATTGAACAAGGCGTTGCCCTGGCTCAAAAGTTCATAATAGATAGAAATAATCATGTGTCAGTCCTGAAAACGTCCCCTTTGGAGTACTGTTCACGTCTGCAGCAGTCCCAGGGAATGTAATGCCACCTATGTTATTCGAGTGAGCTGAGGCAAACCATTGCATATGTTCCGCTGACAGAAAGACGCCGTGTATCTTGATATTCCTCTCATGAGCATCCTAGTATACGGTTTTCCGGAACCATGATCTGTTTGAGTGTTTTATCAAAGTGCAAGCTTCACACAAGGTCACCGGCTGGTGGCTTAAACAAGCTCCAAGTGTCAACCATGGCAGCGAAACTTTGTGGGGGAATCTCTTCACGACAGTGCCCTAGTTGCGGCCTGGAACCTCCAATATGCCCTCATGCTTCGAGGTGGAATCTAGCCAACAACACCAAGAACATACTTGATCCCCGCCCAGTGCTCCTTGACCGTCGGCCGAATCAACTCCGGAGGTAGCACGAAGCCACCGGCACCACTGGTCTTAGGCCTCAACTCAACACTCCAAGAATACGTAGCATTCAGCGCGCCGTGATGGAAGTCTCTCGCAGAACCAGTGGAGTAGTACAAGATCTCACATGAAGGTCCGACCTGATACTCCTCACCACTCGTCGCGTTGATAGCAGCTGCGTAACCGCCGCCAACATCACGCTGTGCCTGCAGGTTCTTGGGGAGGACATCTGGCGCACAAGAGAAACCCCAAGGGAGGAGAATGAGCTGTGAGTAGCTGTGCCAGTCAATGAAGAGGCGAATGCCCCCCGGCGTGGCGGCTAGCTTGCGGGAGAGAGCGGAGAGAACGACGTTCTCAGTCGTGTCACCAGGGCTGAGGCCTCGGAAGGTCTGGCTGCAAGGATCTGATGAGACGCTACCGTCCTCGAGGGGGTAGTTCCATTGGAAGTCCCAGTTACGGTTACCGTCAGTGCCGATACAGGTGATGTTGGAACGTGGTTGACGGTTCTTCCGCCAGAGACGATCTGTCGTTTGGGTATATACGAAGCCTTGATGAAAGTTAGTGCATTGAGGAGCACAAGTAGGACAGGGAATTCTTGCCGTCTGGATTGTGGAAGGGCACGATGTAGAAGTCGTATGCGTCGAAGAATGCTGTAACATTCTTGTTCCCCGACCGATGGCCTTCGATGAGCTGATAAGTCAGGTATTCGACAGTCTGCACCAATGATATCAGTACATACGATGTCATCTCATTGGGAACGCTACTTGCCATAGTTGTGATCCATTCTCTGGCGTGAACGGTACCGTGCCAAAGGACAATGGGCTTGTTCTCTGCCGGTTTTCCACCCCAAAGCTTCAGCCCAAAGATGTTGCGCCCTTCGTACGAAGATCCAATGTCCAGCCACTGCGAGTTGTTTGGGAACGCGGCATGAAGATCCTTCCAATATTGTACGTGGTCATCATATGAGTGGTAGGAGTCGAACCAGCTTAGACTTGGCAAGCCGCCTCGTTTCGTCAATGGGGTAGACTTAATGACTCGAGATTCTTCCCTAATCTGGTTGCCCAAGTCGTTGCTCAGAAGTTGGGTATCAAGTCCTAAAGCCTCGAAGCCGCCAATGTCATTCGGCGGAACCGCGACCTCAATGAATTCTTTCAAGTCGATGGAGGGGAATGACACTAAACGGGATTGGAGGTCGCTGGGTGCATTGGCGGTTGACACCCGGTAGACATGGTATCCATCATAATTGACTTTTGCGTCTCGCGGGGCGTTGCTACTAGTGATTTTCACAGCAGAAGCTGCGACGAGGGGTGACAGAACCGCCAGGTAACTGGCGAACTTCATCATGACTTTGAGCTTCGCCCGGCTGCTAGTGTTGCTTGGAATGACATAGTGGCCTGGAAATAACATTTGAACCAAGTAGGCTTTATATGCGCAAGCCCCTTGATGGGCTTCCTCCTGGCTCAATAAACTCAACAGGGGCAAAGTGAGGGGTTCACTCTTGACAACATGCAAGCCAAGACCAGGATGCTTGGATGACGTTCTAGAAGTCTTTTGCTTGGTACCATTCTGATATTCCTTTCGTGAGATTGTCTATTATTCGGTGGAGGTAGCCTGTATAGGTTCGCCGTGATGTTGCATGGAAATGCAGAGCTACTCCCAGAAAAGTAGGTGCGAAGCATTTCGGGGTCTGAGGCGACTCCAACTTCCACATTACGTTTGCTTGGCATCGAGGATAACCGGCCACTTTAGTTGAACCTTCCGTCTGCGGATGCGGAAGAAGCATAGGCTTGCTTGGATCTGACACGCTGCCAGCATGTCAACTTACGTGAATCATTCGGCGGTATTGGTCTTTTGGCCAAGAATTAGGATTCATATGCTGGTGATCACGCACTCGCAAGGCCTGCTCCGGAATAGTCCCGGCGAGTCCGGCTCCTGACGGGGACCCACTTTTCGGTTCTCTTCCGTATTCGCATCCGACACATCTGGATGTCACGCGGAGCCGGTTCGAGCAGCATTGTGTCTACCCAGTCTTCTTTGGCAGGCCAAAGTGACTCGTTTAGTACTACTTTATATAGCCCACCAAGTATCCGGGGAACGTTAGTGAGCTAGAACTCGAACATGTATGTTTAATTGTGCCAAGCAGTACGAGTGTTATTTGGACATTGGCTGCCTTTTCTGGACCAGCCTAAATCCGGCCTTCGAATCCGCAAAGCTCTATGTCGGATTCCTCATAGGAAAAAAACAACAAGCAACGGGATGTCATACAAAACCAATTCAGATTCTATGCTAGTCGGGCGTGTGAGTAAAATGATTGAGCATACCTCAGCTGGAGTTCGTCTTACTTAGTATCGGACCCAAGCTCCGGCGTGTGCCCCCTAAAGGCTCCACTAGGTAGGCTGCTCAGCGTCGACCGGTTTGGACCCCAAACGCCAACCCCAATTCACCTTACCTACCTAACCTACAGTTTACCTGAGCGTCCCTTGAAGCTAGGTACGTGCAGTGAGTACAGATGGTCCGACGTCACAGGTGCCTGTGACAGCCGCCACTTTCCAGATTTTTTTTTCTCTCCAACTTTGACGCGTCGTCTATTTCTCAACATAGGTGTTCCTTAGCAAAAACATCGAATTATTGCCGCCAAACGCCAGTTCTACGACCTACGAGCGACGTTTTTGTCGCGGAACAATTGCACTGCGGAAATGGGCTAGAAATCACAACCGAAATATCGATACCGACCGACGCGATGGCTACCGAGAGCTCCAAACCTTCGTCGCGCGACGAGTCTTCCGACTCTGGAAGCGGAAGCGACAGCGAAAATGAAACCCCATCGGCAGCCACCCCGACGACGGTCGAATGGCTTGCAACCGGCCGTGCAAAGCGTTCCACAGCCGGCAACCGAATGAAGTCGATGCTGGCCAATGAAGAACCCGACTCCGATCTCGAGCTCCTGTTTGCCGAAGACGACAACGACGAGGGCTTCACCGATGTCGACGATGGCGGTTCCGACATACAGATGGACTCGTCATCCGACGACGAAGACGAGCAGAACCAAGGGGACGACATGGAAGGAGAAAAGGAGCTGGAGAAGCAGGCCAGGGAGAAGAAGGCTGCGGCGCGGAAGCGGAAAGCCCAGGAAGTCATACCGGCCAAGTTCAGGAAGAAGGTCCGCATCGACGCAAATCAGAATACTGCACCAGCTCCGCGGCCCAAAAAGAAATCAGAACGATCAAGTTGGCTACCGTCGCCTGCCGACATGCCCGTCCGTGCCTCGTCCCGACAGACAACAGTGCTCAGCAAGGAGCAGCTGCATCAACAGATGAAGGAACGAGAGGCGAAGCGCTTGAAGCAGGCGAAAGCAATGGAAAAGAAGGCCCAGAGGCAAGCGGAATCAAAGAAGCCGCCGATGACACAAGCAGAGCGACTCGCTGAAGCCGCCATTGTGGAAAAGCGGAACTCCAAGTCTCTGAACAGATGGGAAGAAGCGGAGAAGGCTCGTGAGGAGGAGCGGCTGGCCAAGATTGCAGCGCTGCAGAATCGCACGCTCAAGGGACCTGTTGTCACGTACTGGAGTGGTTTGGGCGAATGGGAGCATCATTTGAAGCATGTTGGCAGGGTCGCGGAAGAGGAGAAGCCTGTGCGGAAGAAGCGGGAGAAGAAGGAGAAGCCAGAGAAGGGCAAAGGCAAGGAGAAGGACGGGAAGGAAGGCGAGAAGGCGGAGGAGAAGAAGGGAGATGGACCAACATCCACTGCGACTCCTACGCCTGGGTCCGAGACTACGCCTTCGAAGCCGGCAGACGGACAAGGGGAGTCGGAACCTGAAGCTCCATCAGCGCCGTCAGTATCGACAACTGGTGATGCCCCTCAGACAAATGGTACCCCGAAGGCACCATCGCCACCCACGCCATCTCCAGCAACACCGGCGGAGGCGACTCCAGCCATCAAGACAGAAGACAGACCCAGCGTCATGGCACCTCCGTCTATGGCACCGCCTTCATTAGCATCTCCTTCGTGTGCGACTCCTTCTCTGGCAGCACCTCCATCCCTGGCACCTCCTACAATTCCACCAGCCGCAACTATCTCACCTGCACCCTCCCAACCTGAAAACCAGCCAAGGCTCATGGCACCACCATCAATATCACCTCCACCATCAATGAGCGCACCGTTAATGGCTCCTCCGCCAATACCTCCTCCGCCGAAGACTTCGGTTCTGGCAGCTCCGGTACTGGCACCACCAGTCCTCGCGCCGCCCCTGGGAGGCATACACCTGGGACACCACAACTCACAACCTAAATCCAACGTTCTCGCGCCGCCCAACACGTCACAACACCGATCTCCTCTCTCCATGCCCGCTCCGCCTCCACCTCCAACGGCGAGACCCCCGCCTCCGCCACAGGCACCCCTTCAACCGACTCAACCTCGAGCTCCCCCAAAACCTCCTGTAATGGCTCCGTTACCACCGCCGCCGCCAGCAGAACCTCCAAAGCCCGAAGAGCAACCCCCAAGCGAGGTGGCCCGCAGCGCATTCATCCTCCGCAACTTTGACGAAGACATGATCAAGGATAAGACAACCCAGACGCAGATTCTCTTCGGACGGAGGATGGACCGCCTTGCGAAGCCCGCCCCTCGCCCAGTTTGCGTCATCACCGCTCACCCGGCTCGCTACCGGGACCCCGATACGGGTCTACCTTATTATGACGTTCGTGCATACCGGGAGATTCAAAGACTCCGCCGTGGTGAGTACAAATGGAGCAGTCTGCTCGGCGCCTGGGTCGGCAGTTGCAACCACGCAGCTCGCGGTGTCCCGGAGAGGTTCCTGAAGGGTGACGGCAAACCCAAGCCCAAGCCAAAGGAGAAGGAGGTGAACGTCACCATCGGGGCACCCTCCGAAAAGCAAGAAGGTAAAGAGGACAAGACCGCCTCACCCCCACAAGAAGGGGGGAAGGAACAGCCGGAAACGGTGGCGGAGAAGCAAACGGTTCCAGCCCCGTCTCCGTCCACACCGCAGACGCCGCAAGCGCCGCAGGCCGTGGTCCAGGCGCCAGCCCAACCTCAGACTCAGGAAGCGAAACCGGCAGCGACCGAACCTACAACGGCCCCTGTGGCCGCTTCGGTCGCGACACCAGTCTGAGTAAGAGGAGACTTTGGTGGTTGCGTCCCTGAATAATGGCGGCGGGAGAACGCCTAAAACCTAAGACGCTCTTTATAGGCTCATACCGATCAGATCGGAACGAGGGGCCGAAACAGGAACGGGGGGTTTAGGGGAACGTAGGGGAAGTGGAGGGCGGGTAGCCTGTGCATGAAGAAGCTTGTTCGCCCGTTGGTGTTGACGCCCGTAATGAACCGCTCTTGGTCTGTAATCATATCTCTATATCGTATGTAACAATACCCTCAGGGCGCTTCTTCGAAGCCAGCCTCTGATGTCTCGAGAATATCTCGAGCAATACATGTTCTGCCTCACAAGGTCACCGAACCAATCTCTCTCACGTTCTGGAATATGCATTAGGCCATCAAACAAGATTACCTACAACGCTAGAATTTCAACCGTTCACCAGCTTCACGAACGCACCCACTCGCAGTACACCCCACCCAAAAGACACCGGGTGCTGCCACACATCGGAGCACTTGGGGCAGAAACGTTAAACGGGGCTCCGGCCGGAGATGTGTCGGCGCCGGAGCTCTCTCGACCATTTCGTCCTGCTGCAAACAATACATGTATTAAGGGGGTCAGGAACAAACCGGAAGGTGTTAGAGAGGGCGGCCCTGTCCACTGGAAGGGGTGAACTTGCAAAACGAAAGGAAAATAGACGTTGACGGGCACACAGTAGCATGAAAAACGTTAAAAATTGAATTGTCTTGGAAGTGTCGTTGAGGGTGTGCTAGCGTAGTGCGAAGAGTCGAAATATGCTTTCCTTCACAGACGGTACAGATCCTTTCTCATGTTGGGACGTCTTCAATCTTCAGACCAGGTACACTCAGACGAGAAGACTCTCTGTCGTTGGCCGGCGACCTTAGTCACAGCTCGACCCGTTCGGCCACTCACACCCTTCGTCTCGACTCTCACCACACGCAGCTCAAGTTTTTCTCATTACTCGTGTGCGTACAGTCTATCCCGTGTAAGCATAGTCAGGCACACACACACTCAGTCACACACAACCACACGGGGAGGGCGACGACGAGGAGGGCAAGAAAGGCACCTGCACACCATCTTTCCTCCTCCCTCGTTACGTACGCACGCAGCGCACGCACATTACTCACCCACACGTAGACCACCACAGAAGGGGGGAGAGTGCGCGCGCGGGCAGGTTTGCTGCAACACAGACGCATGATTACACTTAAGCTCTCAT